CTTCGACCATACCCGAAAACAGTGGTCGCCATCCAGGTGCAGGATCTCAAAAATGGTGCCAGTCACTACTGGAGCATCGAAAAACTCAAGTAAGCCCACTATCACTCCACGTTTCATTTTCAGACCATTAGATCTGACAAAGATTTGTTATCTTCTGCATTTGATTTTATCAACAGAACACTTGCACTTGTAGCGCAAGTCAATGCTTTGCTTATAGAGTCTATTTTCAAACGGATAAGGGGAGGTTCTTATAAGTCTCCTCCGGAAAAGCTGCCGCTATTCAATGTTCAGACATCTGTCTTTTCCAATAATTCTGATAATCATAATTCCATATTAGTTGCGCTCCTACTGCCTCTTAGCTTTTGGTGTAGTAACTTCGGAATAGAATCAAAGTGACGTTAAAGTAGTTGTAGTCGCATGAAAATGCACCCACCTATCCGGCCATACCGAGTTATTCGGAGAGGTCAGTATCGCATTTGCTCATCTGGATATTTGGCTCCTTCGATAGGTTTTCCTAATTACAATTTGAAAGGACAGTGTTCCAGCGCATGACTTCCATGCATATTGCTGTACCCTCTGGAGGACGTAGCCGGGCTCCACATATTTGACACCCCTCCAAAGCCACATTCGAATTCACTAGGTAACCCATATATTTGCCGATGTGTGCAAACGAGCTCAATCTCGAGGGCCTACATTCTACTCGAGGAAAAAGGAAACGAAACGGATCTTTTGAAAAGGAGGAAAGTAATGTTCTCAGGCACTACTCAATCTCTTACAGATTGCGCCACGCGTTCTGTTTTTATTAAGAACCCTAGAACAAATGTCGGTGCATATATCAAACCGGAAACTGATGCTCAATAGGATGCTTGGTTATATCTGAGCAGCAGCCGATCCGAGACCAGGGCACATCATTGGTTGGGGATTTTAGTCGAGTCTGTACGACCTCCCCCCCCCTTTTTTTGGGGGGATGGGGGTTGGTACGACCCCCTCCTCCGGCCCTCTGTTCCTCCTCATCGAATCGAGCGGGGGGGGGGCATATAGTACGCATGAAACAGGAAAATCACCAAAAGTCAACCACCACTCCTACAACGCCAAAACGTAAATACGACCCCCCTCCCAACAATGACCAAGTACGACCCCCTCCCTTTACAACGTCCATGAAGCGAGAAAAATCAACTATCAAAATAAATTTTTCCCAGCCCAAATACGACCCCCTCTCCTGGCGGCCAAATACGACCCCCCCCTGTTGGGGATTCCCGAACTGTGCCCTGTCCGAGACCCCAAACCCTGTACATTGTAAGGCGCAGCTACGCTAACGCCCCCCCCCCCCGCCACCCACACTGATGAAAAGATATTTTTGGAGATCCCTCCGCTAAGCAGCTTTTTTCCTAATCTTGCGCAAAGCGCCCACCTCACATATTGCACACAACGGACCCCATTACATGCCCCCTCCAGGTTACTCCGCCCCTTTTGCCGTAACATAATTTCCTTCTGTAACGGGATTTTCTGTAGTTCCGCAATCTTATGGCTACATTAGTGAGCGAAATGATGAGTAAGACCTGCTTGGTGTGAGACCGCAGGAGGATTTCTTGTGTAGTACCTTCCGGCGTCATCGAACAATAGCCTCAAAAGCCTTCATCCTTAAAAAGTGTGAAAAATTGAAACGTCCAAGGAGTTTGATGGTGAGAAATCAAAAGTACGCATCAAATAAAGTAAAGTTCAACACACAATAAACGATAAATTTCCCGGTACAGAATGACGAAACGAATTTTCTGTATTTTCTATTGTACTTATTGAGTCCTAAGCTAATTATTTCAGTGATTTCTTTTTTTTTTTGTATTAATCCAGATCGTTTGAAATGTCAGAGTCATAACTACAGCTACTGCGAACCATCCATATACACCCTCACTTTTCCAAATAACTCACCCCGATTTTACTCTTACTGTAATGATCCGACTTCTCCTGAAGAATTTTCCAGCCGTAATTGTAACAAATTTTTCTCAACTTCCCTGCTCGAAAGAATCTCACTCCGGCTACCGTACCCGTGTCTCTTCTAGGCAGCGTTTGGAAGATATGCGTAGTTTCTACAATGCCGAACTGTCTGTGGTTGGCACACCGTCTGATCCACCATATAAAAGTGTAGCCGAGGGATGGTTGGCGGCGCTGCAATTGAATCCAGCCCGACTCGTGCCCGACAGGTACGGTAGCCCGTCCTATTGCACTCCTGCACGCTTCTTTCTTTCCATTTAATGCATGTCCTGATGAGTGCTGCATGATTTTGAGGGACTGTCCCCTCCAACTTGAGAAGCATTTGCAATTCACTGCATGACTTCTATCGCACGTTCTTCTGTTCCTCGTGCTGGACCCGTTGTGGCACCGGCTGTCGAGGGACAATGCTGAGCATGACTGTTGAGTTTACAGAAAGGTAACGTCAGGTGCACATTTCCAGACAGCGTCTCGAGTCAATGAGGGATATGTATGAGGCCGACCAGCTCAGCCCAAGTGACGATCCTATGATGGAGGCGTTGATGGGTACCGATCCGTTCTACGATCGCTTCCCATGGTTCCGAATGATTGGAAGGTGAGTTCGTTTGTTCACTGGACAATGCTGCTTTTGGTCTCCTTGTCTGTAGGAACATTATTTACAACGGGTAGACAATATATGACATCATAAACACAGTAGGGTAAGCTGTTCTTGCTGCAGTGACGCAAAGTGTATATTCTCTTCCAGCGATTCGGTTGTTATGCCCAGAAAAACTACAAGCTAGCAGTTTCCGAATGACCGGTAGTAGCAGAATATTAGCGCAAATGGCATACTATCGCGTTTTGTTAGGTTTTGCTGAAAATGATTCCCACTCCAAGTATTTCCCCGCGGTAACCCCTCCCTCCCTTTCACAGCCGGGCATTGCCTGAGCAAATTTTTGCGCGGAGGTTTTATAGCAACTTGCTATAGAACTGTAGTTCTGGGGCCAGCGGCAACTAGCTGCGGAAAAGGTAGCGGAACGTTGAAAGTCAACAATCTAGGTCAAAATTCACCGCCTGCGTAGTACAAGCGACACAACGCCACGTTTCTCAAACGACCCAGACATCCGACCTGCAATGCTGCACAAATCGGGGAGCAAACTATCTACAGCTCATCTGTTTGTAGAACGGTGAAGCCGTGCTCGCGCTCCCATACGCAGTCTGCACTGTTTAGCCCATAGTTGGTATCCCAATAGCTGAATTTACCAAGCAATGTAGGCCCACTTTCACTCTCTGGGCGAGGTACAGGTGGCGTTGTTTTCATAATGTTAGATCCACACTCCAGTGCTCAGACTTAGCCTCCAATTTCAATTCCATGGGAAATTGAAGGCATTTTTCGCGTAAGAGCTGAAATACCAATTTTCATCTTGAATTGACTCAGAAATCCAGTCAGCTACGAGGATGGAGTGCCTTTTTTGAGAAAACGTTTAGTGCGAAAAACAACAGTTCGTTGCGAATTTGGAGCAGTTCTACCTCAAGCACACCGATGTTGTGACAGGCCCTCATGGAAAGACCTACGAATCCTGTAATGACAGTAGCTACACTCATAAGCAATCTTCGGCAGTTTACAAGAGTTTCTATGTAGTTAAAATGAACTAACAAAAGGAACTAAAGAAAGTGGAGAGCCGTTCTCTCCCCCCCCCCTCTTCTGAGCCGAACAGCGTCCGAATTTAATGTAAGCTTGGTTTTACCGGTTACCTCACCGAATTCTATCTTTCTCATCATTGCAGGGCATTCGTCTACCTGAGTAATCTTCTGCACAATGTGCCGCTGGTTCACAAAGTAGCCATCGTCAATGAGAAAGGAGATGTGCGTGGTTATCTGAAAGTCGCCATTGAACCTGTCAATCCACGTGAGTTTCTCCTTCGTTTCCTGATATTTACTTCGCCAAAATTTGCGATCTATTGGATTGACCAGAAAATTTTGATAACCTTTGGTGTTGCTCCGACAAGTATTAGAAGGAACATGGCCAGACGGCTGTTCTTGCGGGCTTCTTTCCTGATGAGGTTACTAAGATATCGGACACGGCAAGAATACCTAACAATGTAGCTTTTCCGTCTATGAATGGATCCAGCAATGATATATTGAATTCGATGAGCTTTCTCAGAACCGTCTTGTCAACCTAATAATTCATCAGTTTCAATTGCATTTCGTGAACCCTCATTTCCACCTGTTTCAGAAGAAATGGAGACGCAGAAGAAGGGCGTTCGCCAGACAGCAAAATTGCACTTCCGGAGGGAGGACTTCTTGAAGGCTTGCAGAAACGGCGAGAACGGAGGTAACCACTTGTCTTAGCACTGGCGTGGATCTTTGCCGTTCAAGGCAAACTGCGGTCGCTTTTTGACCTCCAGAGGCTTTTGTTTTGAAAATCCATTACCAGTACTGCACTGACGATAGGCACGTTGTCTCAGAATCTAAGGAGAATTCAATAAAAACATTCATAACCGCTTGTTGTTCGCAATAATTTCTTGTCCTCTGTACATTCCTCTTCCTCGTCGCCCTCTTACCCACGAAGATTCCTCCCCCTCTATCCCAAAAACATTTTTAAGGAAATATTGCGCTCGCTATGTATTTACTTATGTGAATAGATCAATGATACCGTAACCCTGATCGTATTCACTGGAAGAGAAAGAACGAGGGAAGAGAAGCTGCTGAATCCGCTTTCAGTACCGAATTTCCTGACTAATTTGATATGTCAGTCCGTAAAGAACTCATGCGAAACTCGCATATTAAATTATGACAGGATTGTGTCCGGACTTGGCCTTTGTAGGAATCTGGCATATTCTTGTGGATAAATGATAAGAGGATGGAGTTTTTGGCATTGATCAATCCCCCTGGGAATGCGGCATGCATTCTGCTTTCATTCAAATCGTAGTGCTCTTTAAACGCGGTAGGGCTCATGGCTTGTGGAGATCATGTACATCAACATTTTTATCCTCCCAGACGGATCTGGAACAAATTAGCTGTCGCCGGAGAGTAGAAAGCTTGGTATGCCAGAGCGGTAGCCCATTTTGGATTTCACCCACAGACTGGGCGCGTGAGAAGCGGACCAGTTGCCGCTATACCATCTACGCCTACCATTATATTGAAAAATGTACGCCTCACATAATGAATTCACTGTAACCTCCATGTTCAGATGAAAGTCAACAGCTGACGTTCCCACCCCATATGAGGGAAGATGAAGAGTTCTGTTTCCGAGTGGTGGTGTTGCAGGCGATTGACGTCTCCGAGCAGTACTCCGATGTGTTCTGTCAATTCAAGTGAGTT